TACAAGCAAAACCACACAACATTTTACCTACTTTGAATCCTTCAGGGACTCCTTCTCAGCGTGAAAAAGTATCTGCTCTTTAGCGCAAGCAAGCGCTTGGCTACAGCGCCCCAATGACACGGTATATTTCTACCCGCGTTCCCCGGAAATACGGCCGTCCGCGTATAATAATTGCGCATGCGCGCGACATCCGCGCGTACATTTCATTGCTCGCAGCGCTCACCCGGTAAGAGTTAAGGGAGGCAGAGTTAATGAGTATGCCTAGATACTCCAGACAAATGGTTTGTCCTCCCGTTTGTCGTCAACCAGTGTGACCCCCAGGGAAGCACAAAGGGAAACGAGGATGTGCAGGTTCTGTGGGCACTGCTCTGAGTGGTGTTCCAGTGACGATGAAGTCATCCAGGTAGTGGGTGACCCCCTGTTGGATAGCTATTCTCTCGATAGCTTCCGTCAAGCAATTGAAGCTGACCTGAGACCGAAAGGAAGGACGCCAACAAAGTAGAATGAACCCCTCCACTTCATGCCAAGGGGGTTGTGGTCAGAGGGATGGACTGGGCACAGTGTGAAGGCGTTCTTCATGTCTATCTTCACCATCAGAGCAAGTCGCATCACGGAGTATATGGCGCCGTAGACAGTGGAATAGCGCAGAGAGAAGTCATTGTTGTCAATGCCGTCGTTGACACTGCTCCCTGGTGGGTAGGAAAGGCGCATAGTGAGGCGCCATTTCTGTCACCTTTTCTTGGGAATAGCGCCGCGGGGGTTGACAGCAAAGCTGGGTAGAGAGGGAGAGGGGAAAGGGTCAAGAGTGTGCCCTGCTTGACATTCAGCCTCCAAGTATTTGTCGTATAACTTGTGGTCGAGTCAGGGCTGAGCGCAGATTGGCGGAAGGGCATGCATTGTGTGAAGGCGAGGGCAGTCGTCCCTGGAGCACCTCCCCCGGTTGTAATTGCAGCAGATCTGCTTTGCCTGGGTCTGTGTGTTTTGGGCCAGCCGTAGGGACCCTGGCTTTCTTGGCTGGCCCACCAGAGGAAAAAGAAGGCAGTCAGAGGAAGAGTAAGAGGAGGTGAAGCAGTGGTTATACCAGGCCCTGGGGCACACCCTGTGAAGGCCTTGGTTTAAAGTTGTGGGTCTCTCTGGCTCCAGGAGGCCAGGCGAAACCTAGCTGTCTTCCTCCTGAAGGCAACGTCATACGCCATGCATGCAGAGAAATCGTATTCTGCATGGCATGTGGCGATGAGGTAGAGGTACACCATGAGATCCGCTGACCGCTGTGGCTGGTGGGAGGACTGATAGTGGGAGTATACAATAACGCACCTTTCCCATTAGATGAAGGAGGAGGCCTGTCTCTTTTTTGTTTTCCTGGGGACGGTAAGCCTATTGCGCTCCCATAGACATGGCTCTCCTCCGTACCCTCTCACTCTAGGACATGCAGCAGCTCATGGGGTCGCTGCGGTAGAAAACCTGGCCGGTATGATGGGGATTGAGCCGCTGTACAGAGCCATCTGAGGGATGGAATGGTAGGTGGGCAGGGGTACTGCTGCTGGGGTCTTGGTAGGAGGGGCCACGGAGGTCTGACTGGGTTGAGGCACAGGAGGAGCTGCTGCCAGTCCATGTATATGCTAGGGGAGAGAAAGTGGGGCTGGTAAACCCATGACAGTTAGGTTGCAGTGGTGGCACTGGAGCCGGAAGACTGTCCCAGCAGCTGAGGGAGAGCGGAGCGGGGACGGAGCCAATGAGAGAGACCTGGCTGGAGTGCAGCAAAGACCCACTGGGAGTGGGCTGCGGTAGTTGAAGGGGGAAGGACCGGGCAAATGCCGTGGAGGACGCGGCCGCTGATGGAAGGGCGAAGTGCGCTAACACTCGAGCCGCGGCTTGCTGGGCCATCATGTGCAGATTAGATGGCTGCAGGCCAGGGCCAGCCTGAGTGGACGCCACTGGCATCTGCGGGATGCCAGCGGAGAGTGAACCAGAGACGGTGGGTGTCACGGGCAGGCTGGTGGAGGCGGTCTGCGCGAATCCAACCAGCGTTGTTGGTGGCTGCGGAGGATGCGGGGAGGGAACGTAGCTGGGAGCGAAGGGTCAACAGTCGTGCTATCAGAGACGTCTGCAATACGGAGATGCAATTGTGTGGCCATCGGGATGCCGTCTGTCGTAAAGAAGAACTTTGAGTGACTTTGGCAGGCAGAAAACGCTGCAAACACTGCGATACGCAATAGTGTGAGCGCTGTTGTGCTGCACATCTGTTTGTACGCGTGTGCTTGCCTGCCTACTTCCGTTATAACCGGAATTAATTACCAATAAAGATCCTGGGTTTTTATAATTTGTTTACCTTTGCTATGATAAACTTGCATCTTGGAAAGGAGCTACAGTCTCTCACACGACAAACGTCGTCTTCGTGCACGTAATAATCTGTGGGCACAGTATTGTGTTTGCACTCCTTTGGGTGACCTATAGCCGGTCTGCATTTTTTCATAGCAAGTCGCAATGTTTTATGTTTATTTTGCTCACATTGAACGTCGAACAGGGTATACAATAGTCTTAACATTCTGTTCAGCGTCATATGTGACTCTATATGAGAAAATTGGACATGTGACGGAAATATGATTTGTCGAGGACTTGCTCAAAACACCTACACTGCGCGCAAGCGCACCTTTTTCATTACTCCGCCCACAGACTACACAGTACATCCTGAATATCATTGAAATAACGTTTTGCGTTTGAACGCTTCATTCGACCCGCGCCAGACGCTTGCATGTTTTTCCGCAAGTGCAATGTTTATTGACTAGGCGTCCTGAGTCTGAGCAGGCAGGCCACTTTGTGGGTGTTGCCACTCTGCATTTGCGTGTTGGTAGCACTGGTCTAGGTCTCTAGTATACTACGTGGTTGAATCAATGTCAGGACAGAGCATGCGTGTGTGCAGGTGCGTTTTGACTTTGTGTGATTGTGTCTGCTTACACGCGCGCGTGCTTGTGGGTGCATCTAAATAATTGAACATCCGAACGCATTCAGATATTTGAACACAAACACACTTTGAATTGCAGGATGTACTGTAGCTTACCTGGACAAGATCCTCTTGTTCTGTGTCTTTGAGGCACAAAAACAATATTGCAGAATTGTTTGTACTTCGCTGGAATTGGTACATAGAAACATACAGTAGGCATCTGCACATTTCCGTTACATAGAACGGCCGTTCAGCATGAACCTGTTTTGATAAGAAAAAACAGGAACGAGAGTCTGTTTCAACTGCCATACCTACCAGGCTTTTGGTCGAAACCAGAATGCCAGTTTACTGCAGTCCTTTCTTACCTACGCACTGCTTCACGGGAGCTCTGTTGTTCCGCTTGCCACGACTCAGTGCCGACACCTACGCCACCCGACTGCACCCGTACCATGTCCCTTTCATGGCTTAATTTACTACGCTATACTCTTCAGGACTCACCAATGGTCTGGTGTGTACCCTGCAAAAATTCAGCGACAAACACTACACAGGAAAAACCACACCGATATTGAACATTAAAGAACAGAACTAAACGGAAGCGAAACGGGAACAGAACGGTGCAGTTTACTCCGTAGAATGGCCGTTGTAAGGAACAGAAGTGTGCAATTTATGACGCCCACTGTACTTTTTGCCTTATGCCATTGATAATAGCCATTTCTGTGTCTTCAATTACAAGTGAACTGTCATCTCTGTATAAAGGTCGATGTAGCTTTAAACATGCAAATATTCTACCGCTGATATCCCTTTTTTCACGTACACAGTTATCACGGTTACAGTACTGCTCAGGGGCAAGGTATAATGCGTTTGCATTTTGAACGCATGTGCACAGCATGTGGAACGAGGAGAGAACGCGTTAACACCTCCTATCAGCCTTGTTCATACCTCGTTTCCACCTCTGCGTTTCACTCGCGTTCTGTACACGTGTCACGAGTAGACGGCATTCGTTTGTTAAAGACTGCTTGCATGCGCTTGACTATTTTGCGCCCACGCTGAAGCCGTTGCGACGATTGACAGTTGCTCGCTTTCCCGTCCCTACACCACACGGCTTTTAGTGAGGGGCGCACATCAACCTGCGCGCAGCATGATGCACCGACCCTGTGAGCTGTATAACCGTTTGAACGTGGGAAGCATATATATACGCCATCGGACCCGTGGGAGGCGTATATACCCGCTCTGCCAAGTGTCTGCATACATCGCCTTCCTCCGCTTACCTGTGGCGGGCGTTTCCCGTCTCAGTTTTTCACAGCTTATAGAACTACACAGCCTTGCCTCCCGGGTACACGCCCACTTCCTGCGTGCAGCCGCCTATTTCCACCGCTATACCTTTGTTATTGTTTACTATACTCGGTACAAGCTAGTTCAGCTTGCTTTTGCAGAACTGAGCCCCTCCTTACGCTGTATACCTTTTCATAGTCTCGCAGAGTGTAGCAATCGACGCACTTCCCTGCTACAACAATCTCATCCCCTCGTGTCTGTCTTGTTCGCACTTGCATGTCGGCCTCATTTCCCTGCATTATAAACGCGTGTGGAACGCACGTTTAAAACGTGAACGCATTATACCTTGCCTTACTGTATCTGAACATTAAGTTTCAGTGCATTCACGAATGTGACCTGCTACGGTAAAGGGCCCTTTTGACACAGAAACGTTTTTGGCATTTTTAGTGTCAATGTAGAAGATCCACTCTACAACAATAGCACGTACCGGTTGCGATATATAGCCGGAAGTGCGCGAGACCTTGGAAATGCTTTACTCAGAAAATCGCATTCACACATTCTGCATTCGCAAAAGGGCGTGTACTTTAGCTATAGTTTGCGCAGTCGTATCGCATAGACTTTATTATTGCCTATCGAGTTTTTAAGAACCCAAGATTTAACCCAGGGTGCTATTTTTACTCCTACAGCACAATTGCAACTCCGCGTCAAATTGGCCCTTTTCCCGTAGCCGGTCACATATAGTTTAATGTGGTAACGAAGTGCTACTGGTGTATGTTGACTTCTTTAGGTGATGCAAAAAAGTCTTTGGCCAGAGGTGATGCAACTACTGAGTCCCTCTGCTGGCACCTGTGCAGGGTCGATAAGAACTTTGATGAGATTTTATGTGAGACTGCTGCTACCCTATGAATGTCATGTAAGGAATGACAGCGTTTCAGATTGTCTAAGCAAGGTGGACACATCAATTTTTATGCATACGGTGCTTTCCAAAGTGATTGATGAGAAGAATGATGGAAGAGGGTCGGATGATGGGGATTCGGTTGTTTCTGAGAAACAAATGAATGGTGAAGCCAGGCGAGTTTCAAGAAGACTGAATTCACAGACTAGTGAATCAAGTGCTGGAGAGAATAGTAGCCAAGAGCATGAGAGTAGGGATAAAGAAGATGGTCACCCATCAGATATCCAAGAAAAACCGACAACTCCAGTCGGTACATACCCACAAGAAGTAAGTTCTGATGAGCCTTTACCAGAAATCAGTGCTCAGGAGACAGAATCTTTGCTAGCTATGCCTGCATCACCCTATCTTCAACCACCTGTAACGACAGGTGTGCCGTCTACTCCTTCTGCTGACCCAGCCACTCCACCCTCTTCCTTTCCTCCTCCCTATGCCCCGCAAGGGTCACAAGAGTGGGGACAGAATTCTGATGTTTTTACTAGCTACCCTTCGTCGTATTCCATGGATATATCAACTTATAGGCCTCCTCCACATGTAGCTCCATTGCCTCCAGGCTACAACCCCTTTGCTCCTCCATCACAACATGATATGTCCATGGACTACCACCTTGATATGCCTTCACCCATGATGCGATCCCCGTACGATACTGCCCCATATCACATGGGAATGCCCCCTGGCATGCATGGATTGCCCAGTTCGCGCCCTAACCCATATTTATACCGATCACACATGATGCCAAGGGATCCTTTCATTATGCGAGGCAATGACATGATGTACTCTGGGATGAATTCAGACTGGGCATGGCAGCAAGGCGCGCAGTTTTCAGGAATGATGCACCATCATGGTATGCAATTGCCATCTCGGTCCAGCCAGGGTGTACAACCATCTCCGACATCGAGAGGTCATCTTCAACAGCCTCCCCCTCATCTGTCATCTTCTGCTAATCAATCTTCAGCCTCTGGTGGTGAAGTAACAAAACCATGGCTAGAGAATCCGAAAGGTAAACAATCTGATAGAACTAATTCACAGTCAAGGGCTAAAGCTGAATACAAAACTGTTTCAAGCAAGTCTGACCACCCTCAAATGCTGGATTCATTGAAACGTCCACTTCCTGACTGGAGTGGCTGTGTTGAGGGAACTAAACCTCACCTAGCAAAGAGAAAGCACCTTCTCTCAGTTGACTGTGGTAAGTTACCTACGTTTGTATCCATGGGTAGAGTTTACCACTGTGTTTTGGGATTTTTCGTGTTTCAATAGTAATAAGTAGCAGCTTGTTACTATATGTTGCGTGCACGCATAAACCTATCTTGCGACACAATTATTCATGTTGAGATACGGGTGTGTTTAGCAAGGGTAGTATGGTTTGTTGATGTTTGGGTTTGCTAGGTGCTAGGGTTCTATGGGGGTACCTATTTCTATCTGGCCTTCTCATGACCTAAGCAATACAGATAGATGCCTGAGATGTAGGTTTCCCCCACAGGCCAAGTGAAAATGCCTATGAACGACCGTCTGAGATCATGAGGTAGCTGGACATCAACAGTTTTACTGCTCCATTACGCCGACGAGTAAACGAAAACATTCCATAGGGGCATGAAATTGCTGATTCTTTCATTTCGGTTTTTGGTGTAGGCTACAAAAACGGAGTCTGCTATGCACCTCCAACTTTTTACAATGTTGCAAAAAGGGTGCATGCCTCCTAGAATACGGCAATCACTACTGACTTTTTGCGCCATGAGGTTGTTTTATGCATGTGACAACAACAAGGTGAGGTAGAAGGGCAAAGGCAAAGCAAACAAGTCAACTACACCCAGGACAGCTCTCTTTTTCCAAGGAATTAGAAGAGCTGCCCTAGGTGGGATTCGAACCAACGACACCCCCGGGTAATGCGCAGTCACATATAATGTAGTATATTGTCTGGTGACGTCACATTGACCTTGAACCCCGTGCATAGGCGTCATGCTAAGGAATGAACGGGGACAATTTGGGGCTGGGTTATTCTCCTGGACGAGATGAGGTAGAAGAGAACAGACAGCAGCTTTTAGGGCTTTGTAGATCCTTCAAGAGCAACTACCATCAGATGATACTTCAGCAGCTAGCAGCTTCACCTCCGCACAGGTCCTATGAAACAGTATTCGTACACATTAACCCTTTGAGCGCATGCGCAGAAATGCGTGGGTCATTTGCAATCGCCATGCGCGTGCGCGGAAAAACACGCGTTTTTAGCAAAGACGCGAGCGATTGTTGTAGCCGGGAAGTGCGTCCATTACTACACTCTGCGAGACTATGAAAAGGTAAACAACACGAGGAGGGGCTCAGTTCTGCAAGAGCAAGCTGAACTAGCCTGTACGGAGCGTAGTAAACTATAACAACGGTATAGGGGCGGAAATAGGCAGCCGCTTTCTCGTGCGCAAGCGTGGAGAGATCACGTGCAGGAATTGGGCGTGTACCCGGGAGACAAGCCTGGGTTGTTCTGTAAGCTGTGAACAACTGAGACTGGAAACGCCCGCCACCGGTCAGCGGAGGAAAGCGATGTATGCGGACACGTGGCAGAGCGTATATATACGCCTCCCGCGGGGAAGGGGGGCGGGTCGGATGGCGTATATATACGCTTCCCGCGTTGAAACGGTTAAAGAGGCACTCTTCTCCTCAATATTAGGCTTTTGTAAATCTTACACCTTACACTAAGCAGGCCGTGACATGTGCCTACCTGTAGTCTACTCCACGAAACAAAAAACCTGTAGATTATTGTGTCATAGCTGACATCACAGGCGGGAAAAGTGTCTCATTTTGGTAAAATGGGCAGCTGAAACATACCACCTTTTTAAAGACGAGCCTATTTATCCGCAAAGTATGGCGTGGAGCTAAGATCGTAAATCTGCATTAATAGTGTGTATGTGTCACCTGGTCTGGGAAAAGGTACAAATCCGCACAAATATAGAATTTTCTAGACACACATGTATAGTTGTAAACTCGATGGTTTTGGATAAGCACACAGATGAAACTTATGTCCTAGCGTCGACCTTTTCGCGTTGGAGCGGCCTGCAGCATCTCCTTGTAGTTGTGGGTATTGCTCTATTGCGTGATCAAAATTACACGTGCTCTTTTCGAAGTAACGCGTCTTGTAGTGTGCGTGTGTTTTTGTTTATGAAGCAGCTACAAAGGTGCGGTTTCACTGTTGTGTGCCGGGTGCGTTGCACATTCGAACGATATACGTAATAATTCATGTAAGTGATTTTACTTATGCTGCTATGGTCTAAAAATGAGCATCTTCAGTGTTAGTCCACAATTACTGCTGGTCATGTGACCTTCAGCCAATCCATTTGTCACATGCACGCTACTTTAAATTGCTTAATGCACTTTAAATTGGCTGAGGTAACATCCAGTTGTTTAGGACACACTATGCAGTTTGTTATACAGGTCTAGTTAGTGCCCTCAGACGGGACGGTGATAACGATCAAGGATATGTAATGCACGAGCCGTTCCTCGTGCACTAAGACTAAACCACCTAATGTACTGTTCTAAATACTACATCAGCTTTTTCCTTTTCTGAAGGGCCTTTCTTTAACTTGTTATTGTAACGTCGAGTTACATGCGGTATTGACACCTGTATCGATCGGATCGAGAGTGATTAGCCCTCAGTGTGCATGTGGAGTCAGCTTCAATTGTCTGTAAATGCCCACTGTCCGAAATCGACTACAAACGACCATAATCCATAGACGGGCACAATTAGACAACAAGTGTGTGACCTTGCTACGATTACTAACTACATACAGGACCATGTGCGCTGCTGTGCTACTTTGAACTGTCTTGGCAGCAGATTCTCTTGGCACCATTTCTAGATACACCCTTTGCTGCCAGTCTACAATTATTCATCGCACAGTTTGCTTACTAGGCAGTTTACGAGTTGTCTTCCTGGCTTTTACTAATTTTCGCCTGCCACATGGACACAGAGAACGTCCAAAGTTAAATTTTTGGGTCACAAACCACATCCCATGCAAGCACCATCATGTCAGAGCAGTACTACATGTATGTGGCCCCATTCCTCTGTTCCCCACTGGTATAGGTTTTTTTTGCTTTGAGGGGAAGTAATAAGCTTAGTAAGGCCTTTGTTCCCTGAGTGAGCCCCTGGAACCCTGAGTGCTGGTGGTCGACGAAAAAATCAGCTAAACTAGGAGCGCAGCATCTAACTCCCTCAATACTTCCGCCTAAGCATTTTGCAGGTTAGTCCCAGGGGCACAGCTTGTGCAATCTTATGTAATCGCTAATGACTCTGTAGTTGGCTTCCAAACTGTATTCCCCCACTCTGCCATATATGGGCAAAACCACTCTGCCACATTTTACAACTGTCAATGCTGTTCCTTGCTGTTGCATTCCTTCCCCCCTGGCTAAACCAAATCTCTGAAGGTAATTGTTTAAATAGCCATTGTTGTCAGCTAACTATCATTTTAATCGAACTCTCCGGTGCAAATGCAGCCAGAAAAACAATGAACACTTTCTTACTTTGCACGTATTGAAGTTGAGAGCAAGTTGATGTTAGCTAGCAAACATCCCAACCTCGAAACATTTTCGTGCAACTAGTCTTTTCCGACACACACACGGGCGGACGTTGCATGCTGTGTGGCTGTGCTGAGATAACTATAATGGCTCTTTCGAACTAAAACCAAACTTTCATTCCCTCTCCTCTGATAAAGAGGGGAGGCATTTAAACATATCCTGGACACTCCAAACTATGGCAGTGGTGTGTGGCAATCAGCCTTTTTATCAACTGTGACCGTACACGTCAAAACTGGGCAAACATAAGTTTGCGAAAATTTTTTTCTATATTTCACCGGATTTCGAATGAGTGCTCATTTTTGCTCCTTCGTTGCATGGATATTCCATTTAGTTCCGGAAATACAGCTGTTTTTGTGGTTTAGAGTGCCTAAACTGTAATTCATCTACATGCATTTTGTGTAGAGCAATTTTTCTGTATGCACGCTCCGTTACATGTTGGGTGACACGCGATCTCACAGTCTCTGTTAACGAACGAAGCCTTTAGAAAACTCTGAGAAAGTCACAACGAAGGTAGCGCGTAAGCTTTAGAGTTTATCAGTTCTGTGCATTTTTCAATAGTCCGTATATTTTTCCGCTTCTCTCTGCAATACATGCACGGGGAAATTGACATAGCCGTCTTTGAGCGCCGTTACAGGTCTAAAGGTACATTCTACATCGATGGTCCCTTCCTGGAAAACATGCGATATTCACGCTGTCAACTACAAACACTTATTATCTCGAATTCATTTTTCCCCGACTTATGCCTCCTTTCCGCATGTACAGTCATTCACACTCCACACAAGGGACACTGCGTAATGCAATGCCCATCCCTGTAGTATGTACTATAGTATTAGTCATTCACATCCTGGAAGCCTACCTACCTTTTCACCAGAACCTGCTTGTTTTTGCATCACTCCTCATCCTCTCTAGTCAATATTAATAACCTTGTAGCATGATGCGTGGGTGTATCAAAGGCGCCGGCAACACCATGAATGCCATATTGTGAACGACCGTGCTACAATTTCCTGCGATTGGAGAACAGAACGGTTTTGATTTCACGCCAGAACAGCAAGGTAAGCACGGCATCAGCGCTTTGTTGACACTTCCGGCCTAGCCTCTAGGTAGCTGTACACCCGCGTTAAAATTGTAGTACTAGGGCGGCTGCCCTACAGCAATTTGATGCAGACTTTACCTCTGTGGAACCACCCTGAACTCATGTGAAAGACCCCTACACACCTTGTTTTCTTCACACTGAATTGGTCCAAGAGTGTTTCGAGGAGGTTTGATGTAGTTGAACCACTCTGAACTAAAGGACAAGTATCCTACACACCTCGTAGCAGCAATATATTTACAGGCGAGGTGAAAACACAGCGCTCTGTAATTAGTACACACCTATGATTTCCGAGTGCTGAATTACCCACATAGTCGGTCTTTCCTGCTTACTCGACTTTTAAATTCTACCAGTGTTCGTGTGTGGCAAGCAGCAACTACTGTAAGCTGGAAAGCTATCGATATGTGAGATTTCAGCCGCCCAGTTGTCCTACAAAATGCCCTAGTAGAATGCTTTCTCAATCTACCTAGCTAAATAAGTATGTGCATGTGGAGGGTGGATGGGAGAACTTTGAGTGACTTCGGCGGGAAGAACACGCTGCAAACACTGCGATACGCGATAGTGTGAGTGCTGTTGCGCTGCGCATCTGTCTTGTATGCGCGCGCTTGCCCGCCTACTTCCGTTTTAACCGGAATTACCCAGTCATTCGCGTAATAGCAGTCCATGTGAGGCAAACCTATTCTACTTGTTTAGCCGAACCCGACCTGTAAGGGGCAGCTCTGTAACCGGCCAGGTGCCATCGAGGATGGCGGCACCGGGCACGGTGTTTAGTGCGTCTCGGCTCCAGGTACCAGGCTGGGTGGCAGAGCTGGGAGCGAGGGGAATGCCTAAGGCCGGCCAGGTGCCGAGTGTTGGCAGAGCTGGGCACGGCGAAAATGCGTCTCGTTCCAGGTGACAGTCTGGGTGCCACTCTGGAGACGAGGAGGGAGTGCGTCTCGTTCCAGGTGACAGTCTGAGTGCCACTCTGGACACGACGATAGGCTGTCCCTGAAAATCCATAGGCATGTATAGGGAGGGGTATAGATAGGTGCTGCCCCAAACATTTAAGGTCCGGCTATAGGGAGCTTACTTGACTGTGAATTATAGTGGAGCTCCTGCCGGGGCTGATGCAATGCTGTTGGTCTCGCTGCCCGGCAGGCGGATGTAACGCCGGTAGCAGTCACTGCTCCAGCGGCCCAGGGCTTGGATCCTCTAGTCTGGGATGCCAGCTGCGGCTGCTGCTGAGGCAGCTCCGATGCGGAAGGAGTGAGATGAGTACCGCTGTGACTCGACTCCGCAGGGCGAGGCCAGGTCTCTGATTAGGTGTTTGAGTCTCTGGCACGTGAGAGCAGCTGTCTGGAGGCAAAACAGAGTGCATTCTGTGGGGCCTTGGGTCGCTAGGTAGGTGTCCAGGGCAGTGACTGCACAGAGGGACGGGTCGCCAGATGGGAGCACTGTGGCGACAGCTCCAGAGCGGAACGGGTCTGTCTTGGACTCTTTGATGTGCACCTGGTACCCGTCCGCTGTTCTGCATGCGAAACCGAGAAAGAGAGTTGGCAATAACATTGTGGGTGGCTGGAATGTGTTGTGCAGACATGGTAAAATTGTATTTGGCAGCCAGGAGCAAGATGGTACAGAGGAGAGACATTACGTGAGGGCAACAGGAGGAGCCAGACGCTAAGCAATGCACTATCGCCTGGTTGTCACAGAATAGGCAGATGCGTAGAGTACGCCACTGTTTGCCCCGAACTGCTGCTGCGAGCACAATTGGGTAGAGCTCCTTCCACTGGATACTCTGTTCCAACTGAGCCGTAGACCAGCGGCCATTGAACCACTCACCCTGGCAGTTGGCACCGAACCCGGTGGTCGCTGAGCTGTCGGTAAAGAGTTGGAGGTGGGGGGAGGGGGTCCAGTCTGGCAGGAGGAAGATGGATCGACCATTCCACAGGGTGGCAAACTCCTGCCACCACTGGAGGTCGAGCATGAAGTCCCCGGAGAAGGGGATGGCCTCGTCTAGGGAGGCAACAGAGGAGCTGAGGTAAATCATCCTTCTGAGGAAGGTCCTTCCAGCTGGGACCACCTTGGCTGCAAAGCCAATAAGGGATAGCAGTTCCTGCTTGGGGCAGCTGGGACGGGTTGCCCAGGTGTCCAGAGAGTGGTGTATGTCCTGGAGATTATCAGCAGGGAGTCGGGTTTCAAGGGATGCGGAGTCAAGGACTATGCCTAGATACTTGAGGCAAGTGGTTGCTCCTTCACGTTTGTCATCGGCCCCCAGGGCAGCGCAAAAGGAAACGAGGGTGTGCAGCTGTTGCGAGCACTGCTCGGAGTTGGGTGTTCCAGCGACGAAGAAGTCATCCAGGTAGTGGTGGATGTGGGTGACCCCCTGTTGGATGGCTATCCATGGCTAAGCAACTGAAGATGGAAGGGGCTGACCTGAGACCGAAAGGAAGGACACGGTCGAAGTAGAATGAGCCCCTCCACTTCATGCCAAGGAGTTGGTTGTCAGATACACAGGCCAACACTTCCACGCCCTTCCTCCAATCTGCGCTCAGCCCTGGCTCGGCCACAAGTTATCGACAAATACTTGGGAGGCCGAATGCCAAGCAGGGCACACTCTTGGCCCCTTCCCCTCTCCCCCTCTACCTAGCTTTGTTGTCAACCTCCTCGGCGCTGTTCCCAAGAAGAGGTCAGGGAAATGGCGTATCATTATGCACCTTTCCTACCCACCAGGGAGGAGTGTCAACGACAGAATCGATAACAATGATTTCCCGCTACGCTATTCCACCGTTTAGACTCCGTGATGCGTCTTGGTCGAGGAGCTCCGATGGCGAAAATAGACATCAAGAGCGCCTTCAGACTCTGCCCAGTCCATCCCACTCATGGCCTGGTGTGACCACTGTCTCACCCCCTCCCACTCTTCCTCTGACTGCCCTCTTTTTCCTCTAACGGGCCAGCCAGGGGCCCTACCGCTGGCCCAAAAAAACAACACAGACCCAGGCATAGGAGGCCTGCTTCAATTACAACCGTGGAAGGTACTCCCGGGGTGACTGCCCTCGCCGTCACGTGTGCCTCACTTCCGGCTGTCATGGGTCACACCCAGTCACCTCCTGCCCCACAAAGAGATCTTCCCCTAGGAAGCAGTGACCTCTCTTGAAGAAAATGGTGCCTCATTATGCACCTTTCCTACCCACCAGGGAGCAGTGTCACCACTGCTAGCTTCCCTCCTTACAGGTCACCCTAATTGTGATTTCACCACCTACCTACTGCAAGGCTTCACCTAGGGATTCAAGGTCAGGCGGGCTTTGCCAGACCTTGTGAAGGCTTTGGTTTAAAGTTGTGGGTCTATCTGGCCCCAGGAGGCCAGACAAAACCTAGCTGCCTTCCTCCTGAAAGCAACGTCATACGCCATGCATGCAGATAAATTGTACTCTGCATGGCATGTGGCGATGAGGTAGAGGTATGCCATGAGATCCGTTGACCGCTGTGGCTGGTGGGAGGACAAATAGTGGGAGTAGGCAGCAAAGCACCTTGCCCACTCGATAAAGGAGGAGACCTGTCTCAGGGGTTCCTCAAGGTCAAAATATGTAGTAGCCATGTTGACTAGAACCTTAAAAATGTAGTAGCCAATATTATTTAGCCATGGAAGTGTGCGTATCACGTATAACACGCCATTGTGTATGTAGCGCGCGAACATGCCCCCTTCAGGACATCCAGCCTGCGGAACATGGATAGGAGCCTGGCTACGAGGATAGCTTAGTTTTCTCGTTAGTACCAGCAACTAAAGTGCCCGTGGACGGAGTGTGCCGCACCTCATTTTGCCTGCACGCTTCTCTCTAGCTCGCCGGCGCCGCAAATCGCACGCGTGGATTAGGCAAACTGGGTATTTCCACCCAAGAATTTTAGCCAAACTCAGGTTTTTGTGGCATTAGGCGAAAATGGCGACCAGTAGCGGAACGCCTGTGTCACTTCGGGAGGGTAAGCCTATTGTCCTCCCCTAGTTCATTTTGGACAGGGGTCTCCTCCGTACCCTCTGAACAGTTTCACTGAAGTCCCCATTGCTAATACCCTCATCATATAGCATTGGCAGTTTCCTTTTGAGTTGACATACAGCTATAAAGTATGGGGGAATTGTGTGGCCTCTTTATGTTCTAACTACCCGTAGACTCAGCAGGAAGCGCTCACTACGCATCTATGTTGTTTAGACTAGCTGGAATATCTTACTCTCAGTCATCATACAATTTTATATGAATATCGGAACTGTGAGCATGAACTTTACCATAGATAACTTTGCTCACCGAAAAATAATGCCACACTTTGCTCAATCACATACCAAGTGGGTGTGAAAGAATGCCATGTAGAGAAAAAAGGCAGAAAAAATACGTAGGGTGGAAAGCAAAAAAGTTTGAACCCATGTTCTCTTGCAATCTGAGCAACTACCATACCACTATACTGAGACAGTAGTGAGCTCTCAAGTAGACGCAATATTTAACTTTATGTGGATAGAAATTAATTATTCCTTAACTTTGTATAAAGATAGGAACATTATCCATGATTGTCTTATGTGACACCCAATGTTGAGTATTCATTCACACTGTGCACTGAAACCCGTATAATTATGAAAATCTGTTCTTTTTGTCTTTAGGCAATGTTGAACCCTGGCGAGTGATGATGTCTCTCAAGTCCGGTTTGCTCTCAGAGTCCACTTGGGCACTGGATACCCTGAATATCCTCCTCCATGATGACACAACTGTGGGGTATTTCCACCTCAAGCACCACCACAGTCTACTCAATACACTAGTAGACCACCTCAGCAAAGTTCTTCGAGCTGTGTTTAAGGATGAGTTTGATTCTCTGCCCTGTCACCCTGATTACAATTGTAGTGACATGGCTACTACTCTGGACATTTATGGTCCTGACGTGAGCGAACAATTGACTGAATATCGTGCTGATAATGGAGGGGGCCACAGTCCGCACCATACACATGATAGGCAATGCCCCTTGGAAGAATGCATCACCAATTTCAGAGATGACCACAGATTGTCTCATATTCAACTGCCAACAGCAGATGAAAGATTACTCTTTGCAGAATGTAAAGATGTTCGCCAGATTATTCCAGAGTGTAGATCAATTTGCCAGAATTTACAGAGAATTGATGAGACTCCTGTTTCTGATATTAAACACCGTGAAAACCTTAGAAACCAATTACCGCTACACTACTTTGGTAGAAGTCCACGGCGAAGAGAGCACAGCATACTAGAAGACATCCAGATAAGGGAGGAACTAGAGAAAGAAATCGATGAACGGTTGCATTCTGATGTGGACAATGAAGAAAGGTTAAAGGTTAACAATGAGCAGAAACTAAGGGAGGTATTTCCTTCTCCAGGTCAAATAACAAAAGAGATTGAGGTGCATGCATTAAAGGAAGAGAGTGAGATTTACCAAAAAGAACCTTTGCCACTGTGGTCACTTCCACCAAACAAAGAAATTTTACAAGGCCGGTGCCTTTGTCTCTCTAACATACTTAGAAGTCTGTCTTTTATTCCTGGAAATGATGTAGAGTTCTCCCAACATCCTGGTGTACTCACTATGCTTGGTCGCATCCTTATGCTGCATCACAATCATCTGATACAGCACAAAAGGCCTGGCATTCTCCCCTTACAACTAGTAGGTGCTGGCACCTCTGAACCAACTTCAGCAGCAAGTGAACCTCCGCTTCCTGGAATTGATGTATGGTGGTGGGATTGTTTGGATGTACTCAGAGAAAACTCACTTGTTATACTGTCTAATATTTCTGGTCAACTCGACTTGTCCGTCTTTCCAGAGAGTGTTAGCTGCCCCATTATTACAGGACTACTTCACTGGGTTTCATGTCCTTCTGCAATGGCTGTTGATCCTCTTCCTGACACAGCAATGGCACTGTCCCTATCCCCACAAAGGCTTGTGCTTGAGGCATTGGCGAAAATATCAATATCGGAAATTAACGTTGACTTTATCTTGGCTACTCCTCCAGTTACACGTCTAGACATGCTGTTTATGCATCTAGTGCACTTCATTGGACAAAAAAAACATCCAGTAATGAGGCAGTTTGCATTAGTGCTGCTGTCAAACTTGGCACAAGGCAATGAGGCAGCTAGCAGACTTCTAGCTCAACAGAAGATGGTTGTACCACTTCTAGTCGAATGCATTGAGTCGTCAGAGCAAACCAGTTGCAACAGTAGAGGACAGTTTATTGGTGGTTATAACCCGGAAGACCCAAACAGCCTCTCTGTTGCCATGCTCAGGAGAGCAGCGACTACATTACACTGTCTTGCTAAAGTCCCACTTAACAGAACTGCATTCCTCCCATACCGTGACCGAACGCTTTACCTCGCTACGTCACAGTATGTTGAACCTTCTGTTTCTAGCATTTTAATGGATATGATTTTTGAGCTTGGAAAATTATAGCATCCATCCAAACTTAGATATGCATTATGTTACGTTACATATGCACATCTTTCAATTCCCGTCATGCATGATCTTTATCATTATTCTGACTCATTGCTCCTTGGTTTCTTTGCTGCGATCTATAAATCATTTCTACATTCATTTCATTCATTCTTTGTGTTCTATTATGGGTGAATTCAGTGTCGATAAGAGGTGAAATTTGCGTGTGTACTTCCGGTATGGATCCAAAACAAAGTAACAACTTCAAATTGCAATTGATGCACAGAAACAATTCCCTACATTTTGATAACCATAGCAAGTGATTAACATGGTAAGACGAGTGTAGTGAGAGCGTAGGACTGTATATACAGTGGACGGATGTCATTAAAAAGAATTGTCTTACATGTGTACATCAACATTAGTGCAAGCAAGTGTACATGCGTAATATTGTTTACTACATATGTGTTCGTATACTTACATACATACTACGTGTATAGTTACGTGTATACCCTACATATGCTCTTGTAACAAAGGGTGAGTTGGAATGCACAGTCATAAGGACAGCTGCACTTGGAAGTGTCATCTACATTCACCTATAGCTCACTTGCACCAAAGCTTAATGTGATTGCAAAGAGCATTAAGTATAATTGGTGTAGAATAAATTCAAGTGAGCTACCTTACTATCTACAACAATCGCTCAGAGTATAGTTGGAGATGTTTGAAAATGGTAAAAATTGTTGGCTTACAACAACAAAGCTCCTTTACAATACTGCAGGTTTGCCTCGAAAGTTCAACATGGCTGGCAGTGAATGCAATAAACAACATGTAAATGAGATTTTGAAGTGACCAATTTGTGCGAGACAGGCTCGGTCAACTCAACACTCCTGGAGGTAGAAGGGAAAATGTGAGCAATATACTGAGAACATATAAATTATCCAAAGATACATTTCAGCTGCAGTATTATCTGATGTGTCAGACCAAATATCATACAGCTTCAACGAAACTGCGAGTTAGCTGCCATAAGTTGCCTATTGAAACCGGTTGATATCATACCAGTACCAGAAGAAGACTGTGGTGAGGCTGGGTAGGTCAATGGCGGACTGGAAGAAGTGGAAGTACACTAGGGAAACCAGGGAAGGTATGGAAGTGCGCGATACTAGTAGCTACTGGAAGAGGAGGAAGAGATGCTTCCGCGGAGGCGACGGTACGGGTGGTGGAGATGGAGGGAAGATAGCCAGCAAGACGGGCGCTGCTGATAGTGCTGCATGCTACGACCACTCCCACACCTAGACTCTGTGGCAAATGGAACAAGAGCTCGCAAATGCACGCTCGAAAGGTCAGCACTGTTGGGCCAAACACTTTTAGGTCTATACCTGAATGTCCAACTTTTCAGCAACTATTCACCTTTTCACAAAATTCCACAGTGAGAAGAAACCTAAAATCTGCACCAGTTTCAGCCTTTCAAAACAGAACCCACAACCAATGGGTCATCCCTTTTCCACTATCAAACTTCAATGTGTCTCTCACCAATTCTAGTGGCTAATTTTAGTAATAATTATGTTTGATAGTGGAAAGGGGATGATGCATTGAAAGTTTTGTTTGTGGGATCTGTTTTGAAAGGCTGAAACTGGTACAGATTTTAGGCTGTGAAAAGGTGAATTGTTGCTGAAAAGTTGGACATTCAGATTTCCGGTATAGACCTAAAAGTGTTTGACCCAACAGTGCACTGACCCCAAAAAGCTCACAGAGGCGGTGGAATTGCGCTAGAAACAGCAACCAACCTCCAGTGCCGCCCGCCGCCTGGACGACACAGCCAGCGTTCAACACCTCAACTACCGCCCAGGCCACAGAGCCAGCAGCGTCTAAGGCTAGTGGCAAAGGTGGCAGCAAATGAAAGAGCAGACGCATTGAAGGTACGTTTACGCCTCACGTGTTTTGAGCGGCAAAAAAATGTTCAGGTGGTGGGACCGGGACATCGACATCTGCAGAACCTTAACCACCTGAAGAAGGTGAAACTGCATATCTACACAATTTTTGCCTGCAATGTATCTGCCTCCTAGATGCAGCGACTCTGATGGAGGGGATGGGCATTGATTAAACACTACTACCAGGTACATACACTTCTGTATCTTTGTTTTCCTATATCCTTTTTAGCAACTGCTTTGGAAGTCAGGGAAGCCCTGCACGCCACTGTGGGAACATGGACCAGGCAGTGTCTGCTGCAGTGGCCAGTGCAGTTGGGCCAATCATCTCGACCCTCAGTTGCACCACAGAGACGATACTACAGCAAACCACGGCGCCACCTTCTCTGCCCCCGTTGCAGCACTTCTCTCCCCCATCTCCTTTACCCTGTTCGTTCTCGCCTGCCCCTTCCTTTAATTCTCTCACACACCTGAACTAACCGGACATTGTTGTCTCACCAACCTATGTAACTCCTGGTCCATCATGGGCAGCAGCCGTAGGTCCATCTACCCCAACACCAACAAGCCATCATCACCTTCCTCCTCCATCCTCCCCTGCTCACCAGAAGCTCAGGTCCCCTGACGAGGTTCTAGACCAAGTCAGCACCTAGCTTGTTCCTGGTCCAGGGAGTGTGTGGAGGGCCGCCATTAAATTGGCCAAGGAGAGTGTGTTTGGGGCAGATGTGATGGCGCAGGGGAACCTGAACCAGGATGGGATTCACTTCATCCGGTAGACCCTGCAGTAAGCTTGGTGTAATATATTATGTATTGTAATGTTGATTTAATTTTTATCCCTTGTGTCTCTCAGAGGTGGAATTTTATTAACTCTCAATTACTGGAAGCCAGCACTCCGAGCAATCTAACTTGTGGGAGTGAGAAGGGGAAAAAGAAGATTCAGTGAACTGCTAACACTGACACCATACTGATCTGCTGCCTATTATATATCTGCTAAATTTTTTGGATTGCTCATTTTCTGCTATGTACGATTTGTTGTATTGCTGCACTTTTCTGCTACATAATTGAGTTAACGTAGTTAAACGAGGTAAACCAAACAGTAGAATGGGCATAATGAAGTTATATGGTTTGTATTGTTCATGTATTTGTTATCTGCTGCTTGCTCATTATCTTGATTATATCGATTTGCACACCAAAGGGTGCACCTTTGCGCAGGCACCAAACTGTGACTCACGTAGAACATTGCATAACCAGCGGCTGGTTAATAGGAATCACGTATTAACATGCCTGTATGTGTATATATACATAGATGCACTCCTTCAAGTTATTGTAAGTGTCCAATGTATTTCTGACACTTCCGCTTACTTACTGCTCCGCAAAATTCCCTAATGCCTTCTAAAAGGTCAGCCTTGGTTTTTGGCTTACACCTCTACGAATGTATTCCTTAAGTTTGTGCCAGAGATTCTCGATGGGATTGAGATTGGGACACTCTGGTAGCGTTTTCCACCATTCCATCCCATTGTCAGCAAAGAATTTCTGGGCACGTCTAGAGGTGTGTTTTGGGCCGTTGTCCTGCATGAATAAATAGGCACCTCCAGGGTAAAGCCTTTGTGCTGATGGTACAAGTTCCTTTCTCAAAATTCGCACATAAAATCAAACATCACCAGATCTGTTCATCCATTTTTACTAATGCCAGCCCAAACATGTAGTGGCCTGTAATGTCAGAACAGAACAATATATACGCAGTGCACGTATGAACGTATGTGCATAATTAACCCTCGGCGCGTATGCGCAGCGAGGGTTACTGTGTATCTTGAAGGCACAAGAAGTCACAACGAAGGGACTCCCGCATGCTATTGACTACTGTAGCTAGCCCGTGTCAGACTCTCCGCGAGTTTTATATACTAGCGGGAGACTAACACGAAATAGCCCAGCCCATCAATTAGCAGTACCGCGCATGCGCAGTTCGCCGAGGGTTTGCACTGTAGTGCATGCAACTGTAAGTCCCTACGCACTTTGGTTATGGACCGACGTGGTTTACTCCTCGTTTCCTGTGACTAAAGCGACGGTGATTCTCGAGTTGGACTGTAGTCTCATCAGTCCATATAACATTGTTGAACTAGTTTTCCATACACCACAACAGCCTCTTAAGCTTGTTTGGCCCCCTGATCTGATTAGCTGACAGTAGGCTGCTTAATGATAAGTCCAACCGAGTTTTAGGCGACGACGCAAAACCGTACTACGGGAAAGTTCTTCCCCTTGTAGAATACAATCTAGCTCAGTAGCAGTTGTCTCATCATCCTTCTGCATCTCCTCTTCTATGATACCTTTGACTCTCTGTGTCATCTTGCTGCCTCTCCCAGTTTAGGCTTTCTGACTGTGCTTTGCCCTTCCCTGAGCTTTCGAAGTAGTAGAGATACAGAGGACAGACTTAGGAGAATTAGTAAATAACACATTGCTGATGGCAGTGGCATTAATTAACTGCATAGAAAACTGCTCACTGTTTCATGTTGAGAAGCTGGTCCGGCATTGTAATAAAACTGAAGACTTCCTGGCCCCTAGGTACATCGTATCACAAGTAGTATAATATAGGGATGAGACAGGTTGTCCTGCCCATGCAATTGAGACTTTCATGTTTCACTTTCAGTTTCAATCAGATCCCAACCTTTGACACATCAGACTGATACATATCGTCACAAAGAGCATGTATCCAAGAAATGGCTCAAATCGCATAATCGGTACTTCATTTCAGATTCTTCTTTTTGTCGTTGATTGGAATCCATGACCTGGGGTGCTAGAGTGTTTCTAGACAATGTTTTTTTACACGTAAACAACAGTGAATTCCAGCGAATAGACGAGAGTTCTTTCTCTGGCTAGATTTCGCATCGATATGACAGCTAGGCAGCG